TATTTGATGAGAGATAAACTTTATTGTATTTATCCTAGTGAGCCTATAATTAAATGGGTAAACAAGTAGTAGCACATTCAATGTCAAGGAAAGTAAAAAGTTATTATCAGGAGAGGGAGTATGATTAAATGGTTAGCAACAGTGTTCAAGATGATGGCCCCCTCCATGAGGCCACCACAGCTCAGCAGAACACCAATGTAGCTTCTTCTGGGGAGAAAAACACTTAGAGAAAAATTAAGTTAACAGCTGAAATTGCAGGAAATAATACAGTTAAAGAGCAGATTGTAGAAGAAAGTAGTAGGGTGTGAAAAGTGGTCAATGTATCCTCCAGCAGTCTAAGCCTATAGCAGCATAACTACAGAGATAACTCTGGATAACCTATCCTATTTAGATGGAGGCATGTTGGATGCAGGGCAATTGATCTTTCACTGAACATTACCAGAACATACATTCAAAATAAAGGCCATTGTCTTTCATTCATAGCCGTGACTTCTGGACACATATAAACATACTCAATGAGGAAGACGCATACCTCCAGTAATTGTTAATTTTTTTTTCCATCTAAGTTGCTGCGTTGTGCATGGAGCTGATGCTCACCGTGTCAGGTATTTCCTGCAGCTTACTTGTGGTTTAAGTTTGCACTGTCAGGGCAGCTTGAACACAACAGAGAGCAGTCGTCACTGGACACAACGGAAAGATCTGTGAGCCTCACATCTAATTTCTTCTAATTATTTCTCATCCTCTCACTACATTAAAGAGATGGTCTTGGGGCAACTGAGATAATCTGATCTGATTGATACACATTTTTCCTTCCAAGTGTTTCAACGTTTTCCAGCTGATCTAAATGTAACTGGCTGAATAATCTGCTGGTGAGCTACATTTATCTGCTCCTCTATAATTTGCACCGCGCTTCTAATTATTGTTGCTTTTTGTTGTCTTCAAAGTGTTTCGGTCTGATATCTAAAGAGCGCATCATAAACATGGAAGCCAGAGCTATGAATCAAGTTTCTGGAGGCCAAAGCTGCTGAAATTGGGCCTTTTGCTTAGAGTGAAAGTTGGTCAACATCTCTTCTTCTAGGTCAGTGGAATGAAGGAAAGGGTGGGTTGACTTGCTTGTCATTTTACTGCTACAAAACAGCCATTATCTCCATAATGAACAAATCTTTGCATTAAAGTTCAGACTCCCAGCTATACTTGGAAATAGGGATGCACCAATTCAATACTGGTATGCAATACAATACAATACTGATATCAGTATAGGACACCGATACTGATACTGATAGCAGTATCGTATCGATAAAAGTTAAAGATACCAGTAACTGATACCAATGCAGTTGCTTGAAAAGTGGCTTCACTGTAACTTGTCATTTCTGTTCACCTAATATTTTAGTTTTGTGATAATTTGTATTCATAAATGTTACTTTTTATCTACCCCACAGTCCTTTCGGGTTGAAAGCAGAGAAGAAAATAAAACCTTTAATACAATTCATAGCATTTTTTGTGTGGTAGAAGTATCGGTATCAGTAATCGAGTCGGCGATTACTCAAATCCAAGTATCGGTATCGTATCGGTTTGGAAAATAGTGGTAACGTTGCATCCCTACTTGGAAACAAAACAGAGGTGCTATAACCACCAGAATTTACACTTGCCACCACCAAACCAAATATTGTGAATAGATAATCTCATAAAACCAGTCAACATCACACTTTTTTCTTTGAAACTAAACACACCCTCCATCAGTACACGACACATTTGAGCTTATTTAGAGTTGAGCTACAAGGCTCACTAAAGGCGTGTGCTTCAATACATTTTTGAATAGATGTTCTGATTTGAAACTCCACAAAGCTTCTTCCTTATCTGGTTGGTCGTAAACATAATTAACATCATTGGCTGCACCATTGACTTTGGTATTGAGATTTAGGAGAAGCACAAACACATTTCTTGGATTTTATATTCTGTGATGGATTTTGTTGCTACAACAGAGTCCCAGAAAACTAAATCAGGAACCTGCAACCAGATTTACTGCAGTTTTGAATACTTTAATGATAAAAACAGAACAGTAGGCTTTAGTTTCTGCTTGTTTGTTTCCCATCATTAAAATACACATTTATGCAGATGCGGTGCAAAGTACAAATCCTTAAGACTTTTTGGTCTTTTGAGCAGCTGAAACTTCTGTTCAACTAGTCTGTCAATTATGTTTAAAATATCAGCATAACAACCATAACGCATTAACTTCAGAAATAAAAACAACATAATAAAAACAGTTGCTGGGCCTTTTTGTAAGCTTGAGTGACATTTTGTTTCCCTCTGAGCGGCTTTGTTCTCTGTTTTAAATGGATTTTTCCTTCCCTGCTCGGGGACATCACCACGAGTGTGGAGAACCATCTGGAACCCTGTGATGAGAAATAAATCATAAAGCTACTGACTCACAACAGGCAGCTCAACAGGGTCAAAAGCTTTTGGGGCTTAACAATGCAACAATGTGAAAGCCTTTGTTGTTCCAGGGACTGGCTCATTATAGAAAAGTGTGGAGGAGGCTAAACTTCTTCCTCTTTCATTCAGCTTTTCACTACACTAAGATCTTCTCATGAACAAAACGAGCATCATGTTCTGATACCTGCAGGCTGAGATAAAACAGGATAAAACACAAAAGATAGCTTTAAACTCACAGCTCTTTGAAATGGTTTTTAAAATATAATTACATGAATGCATCTGGTGTACATTTAAATTATGCTTTTGAAGATTATTGATAGAAAATGTAACAATTTAAGTTTGGAGAGTTTTTGAGACTAAAACAATAATGGGAAAATGGCAAAAAAAGTTTTTCCTGCGCTGCAAATATGAAAAATATCTGAATTACTTACCGTGTGAAGATTTTACTAAAAGATTTTATTTGAATACAAAGAAAATGTTGTCATCCATCTTTTTTTTAATAATTTCATGCTCTTATGTTAAAATTTAGATTTAAAAAATGTTGTCTTGAATGAAAAATATAATTTAAAAGTACAGTTTTTGTATTTTGTAAATATTCACTTCAAAGCAGAAAGAAAAGAGAAAAAAAGAAAAATACTTTATTTCGTGTTGTTAAACGTTTATCTCTGATAAAAAAAATAGATTTTTTTAATTGTTGCATTCTTACCTCATTCTTTATCAACCTGGTCTGTGAATGATGATGAACAGATGTCGTATTTCTTCACATCAGGACTGATTTTATATCCATCTGTTGAGTGACGAAACACACACATGTGCTCCCGTTCTACGAGAACAAAATGTTCATCAACCTGCCCACACTGAACGCATCAGGGAAGCACATTACATGACTATTTACGCACACATTCTTTCCTTGACTGATTTAATACTCAATCTTGATAACGGCTGAGTTAGGCTTGTTCACACAGCAGCTGACAGGCATTCGGTCTCTTGCCAAACGGATTATCATTTCTCTGCAGGGGTCAGAGGAAAGGATCCAGACAATGACGCACACAAACCCTTTGCCATGTGCGATCTCTCAGATTCAGCTCTGTGTCATTATCTTGAAGAAATAATAACTTTATTTATATTTTACTCTAACCCACTTTTTCTTCCAACATGAGTTTTCCTGGGAATTCCTCTGACGTTATTGTTCAGAATCAACTAACTTATTCAAGTTTACTAGAAAACTTACTACTGAAAAATTACATTAAAAGTGAAAATAAAAATTATTTGTGAATAATAACAGGTTTATGTTTCTCGCTGTTGAATCACCACCTTAATGGAGATGTTTGGGTATGAATATGGGAGCTGTGTTGTTTGGGACAGCAGTCCCTTGACCTTATGGGAGGGGTCAGAACCTCAACGTGCAGGGATCAGTCCAAAAATGAGGAAGTAAGGAATCTTCCTGGAGCCTAGCTATGGAGGGGAGGTCATCAGCAAGCACCTGGTGGCTGAGCATTGGTTCTTGGGGGTTGGCTGCATTCTGCCCAAAGAAGTAACAAGAATCTGCCTCTATGAGGGCTCATCACCCGTGGAGGGAAGAGCATAAGTCAGGTCCATCCAGAGAAAACTGGCTGGCAGGTGGGAGTGGGAGCCCAGACAAGCTGATCCTCAGAAACTGGCAGGAGAAGAGCTTGGTCAATGGGCAATCAGGCGGGGTACATCCTGGACAGAGAGCCAGTCCATCGCAAGTCAACACAGAGACACACAGGACAAACAATCTCACACACACACACACACACACACACACACACACACACACACACACACACACACACACACACACACACACACACACACACACACACACACACACACACACACACACACACACACACACACACACACACACACACACACACACACACACACACCTAAGAACAATTTAGACAGACCAATTAACCCAACAGTCATGTTTTTGGATTGTGGGAGGAAGCCAGAGTACCCAGAGAGAACCCACGCATGCACAGGGAGAACATGCAAACTCCATGCAGAAAGATCCCAGGCCGGGAAGCGAACCCAGGACCTTCTTGCTGCAAGGCAACAGCTCTAACCACTACATCACTGCGCAGCCCAGCACCAGTACATATCAACCAAAATAAAACCATTGTTTATTTTCACTAAAAACACATTACTCAGATTGCCAGGTTAAACAACCTTCCAGGAAACAAATCTTTCACAATGACGTTACTTCTGATTTTTAACAGATTTGAAAAATTGAAGTGTAAAATTGGCTTATTTACCAGGATTAAAATGACTGGAAAAACTTCCAGGAATTACTTAAACTAGAAGGGGGAAACAATATTAGCACGGCAGATTATAGACATTTTCCTCTTTCCTTCTTTTACATGCCTAAAAAAACGTACCTGCCACAGCAGCTACTAATGGTGTACGCACACCTGAGGGATAAGTGCAGAGGAAAGATTACAGCTTCTCTATTTCTGTCCTGCAAAGCTCTTTAGCAGTCTTACCCTCCTGTGTCAGAGACTGAGTGTGAAGTGCAAGTGTTTGTATGTGCAAGTGGACATAATCAACACTGTTTCCTCAAGCGGCTCTTGCTGCATCACATTCCTGATTGCTCGGACCCGTGGATTAAACTTTGTCTCAGCAGGACTGAGGCAGGAGAGAGATACCCAGGGAGAAGCTTCAGGACGACTGTCGGGGAGTAGTGGACACGATGTTGATCACAATGCTAACCGCCATGTATGTAATGGTCAACGTCGTGAAATCGGTAAGATTGTTATAAAAAAAGACTTCAGACATTGAATTGGTTTAATCTTCAAAATATGATGAATTTAACCCAGACTTCTTTTTTAAATATTTCAGATAGGATTCCAGTTTGCACGGAAACCAGAGCCTTTACCTTACATGGTCTCTCAGCCGTTGCCTTGGCAGGTTCACTCTGTGTCCCTCAGCCGGAAGAGCAGTAGAGCAGAAGAGGTGAGTCTGAGCAAGACCCAGACAGGTGATTTCACATAAAGATGTCGGTGTTCCTAGATTCTAAGAATTCAGTGAAATTCAGGCTCTTTGAGACTTTTTTCACCTATCTCCTAGTCAGCGTGGCTGAAAGTTTATTTATAAACTAGTTAAACGATCTGTGAGACGCAGTTGGTGGGAAGTTCAGCAGTCACCCATGACTCAGCATATTATAAGCTGCTTGTGCGTTTATATCTCAAAGGGGAGCCGCATGCAAAAGCAGAGGAATGTGACTTTTGGCGGCCGAACACTCAACAATAACACCAAAAATAAAAACTAGTTTTGCCTTGGCAGACCTGTGACCTTCAGAGAATCAGGAAATCCTTGTGTGAGGATTTATTATGCCTCACAGCCTCTCAGGTGTTTGGCTGCCCCTCAGACTTTCACTGAGGATTTCAGTTCACCCTAAAGTGCAAACATCTCAACTCCTGCGACACAAATAGTAGTAATTCTGTCTGAACTTGTACATTTTGTACAAGAAAGTTCCTTTTGAACATAATATTTAATAAAATAGAAGCTGCTGTGGGCAGATTCAAAGCAGAAAAACATAAAACGAGAAAGTGACTGAACAAGTCTGTTAGCAGGAATCCCACTGTAACCTAAATAAACCATCTCAGACTGGCCACAGGTCACCTTTACAGCTTCATGAAAGCCCAGACCTTGTTTGTCAATGTCACAGAGGCGCTGCTGTGGACTGAATGCTGGCATGCTGCCAGTTTCACAGGTAAGCATGCAAAGTCAGCCCAGTCTTCAGCCTCAGTCGCTTCCCTGCCGCTCCGCTGCTTGAGCTGTAATCCCAATCAGGGCGGATTTGTGTTTGAGGTCAATGTTCAGGCTCTAGATAAAAAGGACACACGGGCGCAGTCAGTCATGTACAATGACCATTAGCTCTCTGTTACAAAGTACTCTGCAAAATAAGGTGTGGTAAACTATGTTTCTGATCTCTAAGTTGGAAATACTGTATGCTTGCTGTTTGCTGATGCATACGCGTGTGAAAAATGGCTGCCACGTGTAACTTGATGATTTGCGGGATGATAACTTGTTGTGTGTGTGTCCCCCAAAATTAACATGACACATTTAAACGCTGAGATACGAGTAACCAGTAGGCGGAGTTGACAAAATGAGTGAGACACTCCGCCTCTGGTTTAGAGGTCTTTCATGCTACAATACCGCTGCTGTCTTTTTGTCTGCCGCGACCTCAAATTTAACCAGTTAGTGATTTCTTCTATCGATGCCATATTTGTTTGGTTGTACCCCAGCTGGCTCTCTATCTGGTCTGAGTACTCTACTGTGCCTCCTAGTGGAATCATCTAGTACTACATGCAGTGCAACAGCAAGTATGTGAACAAGTGTGTGATAAGTTTGAATGTGTTCTAACATCAGTTTATTTCTTTGTTTTGCAGTTTGATGGTCTCAGGAGGAACAGCATAGGCGTGTACAGAAAGAGTAAGTACTACTATTTTAGCCAGTGCCTCAAAATAGCCATCAGATTTAGGTTTTAAGAACTTTGCATCTCATTCTGTTCAAAGCCAACTTCAGACAGGATGGAAACCCCAATACAGCCACAACACAGCAGCGATTTACCAGGGTTGCGTAATAAAACCGATCAAATGAATACCAGATTAAATTAAGCTGCAAGAACGAGACTGAGCACGCTGTTGTTTGGAGTAACAAGCAACAAGTATGAACTCGGGGGCTGCCAACATGGCGTGTGCATCAGTGATGGTGACACGTTCCCAAGCCCTACAGGATGCTAAAAGTCAGCCGAAACGTCTATGGTTTTTGCGAAGTTTCATGTGCACTGATGCAAGTGTGATATGTCTATGATGGCTTTGAACACATCCACTGTAGTGCGGTTGCAGTGGTTTTATTGTAGTTGTAGAAGTGCACCAAGATCCTGGGTAGAGTGTAAAGGACATGTGGTGGAGAATCCATGATGAGGGGTCTGCTGGCACAGGCCTGGCTTGGTTCATCTCATATCCAGTCTGAAACATCATCATTCAATAGCATCTTACTTGGCTGATGTGATATTTTAGCACAAAGCTGTCTCTGGTTTGAGAGTTGTGCCTCTGCAGGATCTGATTGCGAGCGTGCATATGTTTGTGAGAGGGTGCAGGAGATCATCGAGAAGTCAGCTGCATCGTGATTGCTTTTTAAAATTAGTTTTGACTCAGCCGTGTTCTGAAAGGTCGTGGAGAGAGAAGTGGGGTCGTCGTCCTGTGTAGATAAAGGTGGTCTAAAAAAATCAGGAAATTAAAATGTTGGCACTCAGACCATACCTTCATTAAAGTCTCATAATTTCTCTCTTTGTTGTAATGCTCAGGCTCCAGTATCACTAATGGCACGTGCACCACGCCTTTAGTTCCCCCGCTCAGCCCCGTTGAAGTAGAAAAGGCCGCCTCTACCATCCAGAGCCACTTCAGGAAGTTCCAACAGAAGAAGCAGAAGAACGGCAAATAGATGAACAGAGACGGATGTCAGAGCTGGTGCAGCAAGTCTGAGAGAAAACGGGAAGCTGGTGGAGAGAGTGTAGACATTACAATGGGTTCAATGTACATCCATTCACTTTAGTTCCCATGACTTGAGACAGAAACTAAACTGTAAGGTAAAGCTATAATCTTCCTGTGAAGAAAACTGTCTTTTATTGTCTGTGGAGTAGTTTGATGTGCTGCTACGGTTCTAAAGTGTGATTGTGTATTTATATTTGACTTATTTTGAATATTTAATCGTGGCAGAAAGCATTTGAACACATGTTGTCTTTAAAACAAACTTATTGCACTTTGATCAAAACATTTGAATTAAACTATCTGTCAGACTGCTGTTTTATTGCATGTTAGTGCCCTCTAGTGTTTTAAAAGGTAAACTCCACATTTGAGTGGAGCTTGATGTACAGTAGTGGGTGAACAATCAATCAATCAAAGCTTTATTTAGATAGCGCCTTCCGCAACCCTGTCGGGCAGCCCAAGGCGCTAAACATAGTACGTGATGATATGAGCTCTTCTTACCAGACCAATGACCCTCAACTTTAGGTGCTCCCACCCACAGGCTTCATTTTTTAATTTAGCTCTTTATACAATCCATAACAATAATAATCATGCAGACAGCCTGATTTATTTAAAGCTGAAATTAAACATCTAAACAAGAAACCAATTTCACCTTTCTTTAATTTAATTGATGGAATATTGCTGTACATTTGCAAAGCCTGTTTTCTGGCCCAGTTGCATCAGAACAGCATCAGTAAAAAGAAACAAAAAAGAAAAAAAAAAGAAACAAGTAGCTTTTAATACTATATATATAGGTATATATACATATATATATACATATATATATATATATATATATATATATATATATATATATATATATATATATATGTATATATATATATATATATATATATATATATATATATATATATATATATATATATATATATATATATATATATATTGTCTGAACCCGCTTTGTCTATGTAGGGTCGCGGGGGGACTGGTGCCTATCTCCAGCAATGGGCAATCAGGCGGGGTACACGCTGGAGAGAGAGCCAGTCCATCACAGATATATATATATATATATATATATATATATATATATATATATATATATATATATATATATATATATATATTTATGTATATATATACATACAAATAATAAAAAATTGTCATCTCATCTTCTGTTGGTGGTCTCGAGCTTGAGGGTTCTGCAGTTTCTTAGCTGTTCCTTGTTCTGCACTTTTCTGGACTGAGATGTCTGGTGTCATTCCTGGAATCTATTTTAGCCACTCCTCCAATTTGGGGGTTATTGCCCTGAGTGCCCCAATGACCACGGGCACCATCAATGTCTTCACTCTCCAGGCTTTCTCAAGTTCTTCTTTGAGGCCCTGGTACCTCTCTAGTTTCCCGTGTTCCTTTTTCCTGATCTTGCATCACTTGTTATTGCCACATCAACCACATCAGCTGTCATCTGTTGTTTGTCCACCACCACCATTTTGTCAGTCTGGATCTGAAAGTCCCACAGGAGCTTGGCTCTCTCGTTCTCTACCACCTTAGGGGGTGTTACCCACTTTGACCTTGGGACCTTGGGGTCCAAGTGGGTACTTTAGTTTAACAATGTTTTTACATTATACATGATTAGACTATAGCAATAATTATATAGAGCTTTCCAGAGCCATGGAGCCCCCCAAAGCACTTTACAATAAAGTCAGTCATTCACACACACACACACACACACACACACACACACACACACACACACACACACACACACACACACACACACACACACACACACACACACACACACACACACACACATACACACACACATGCACACACTAGTGGTGATGAGCTAAAATGCAGCCAAGGCTGCACTGAGGCTCAATGACAGAGGCAAGGCTGCCATGCTCTTGCCCCATCAGTCTCTCTAACCACCAGCAGCAGCCAAGGTGGGTTAAGGGTCTTGCTCAAGGACACGACAGCAGCAGACTGAGCAGGGATCGAGCCTGGGCGAACTTTTGACTCCTCTGCCACCATATCTCTACTTGAAGGTGAGTTTCATCCTCTTACATTTTACTTTGGATAAAACATCTAATAGAAAGAATAAACAATATCATCACAGTTTATAAAAAGATAGCTTTATTGCACAAGGTGTCGGAGTACTCTTTTTTTCTGCTTTTGTGTTGTTTTCATAGCAAAGAAAATGTCGAGTTAAACACAAGCAATTGTAAATCGAAGCAAATGTTTCTGCATAAAAGTTCAAAGAAAAACTGTTAGACTTTTTAAAATCTTGTTTTTAGGAACCCTTTTTTCAAATAGCTCAAATCACCCTTTTTCCTTTTATAACCAACAAAATGTTCAGAACATGCAATGCTGCTGCTGCTTCTCCCCAAAGAATAAAACAAACAAACCAAAAAAACAACAAAGAGAAAAATTTTGATAGAAAACAAATTAAAGCTGAGACACCGCAACCAAAGGGCCCAATTAAAAAAATGAGATAAATATATTAAATATGCAAGATCCACTCTAGCAAAACTGAACTGGTTCCTAAATGGGAAAAAAAACAGTTATTCTCTTTTATTTCTATGGATTTTTATTGTTTCTTCATCATGTTTAATTCAGTCCAAAACTTACATTGTGCCCTGGTTTTTAGTGAAGATGTCGAAAATAGTACTCATTTATACAAAACACCTCCCTATGTACACAAGTATTCAGTTAGGGTGGAGAAGTAATTGTATCAAGGTGAGATAAATGCTAAAAAGGAGGGAAATGAGAAGTTGTGATTGGCTAATTCATGTAAAAAAGGTTGGGAGGGGGTACGATTTAAAAGGTTTTATAGTATTTTGATGATTTCAATGAACATTCCACCTAAGATTAGATGCATGTTATAATAAATGAATTTGGAAATGCTTTACTTTAGTGATGTATTTTTCTTGAAAAGTGAGTTATTTTCCTAAAATTACACGTTTACTGGTTATTCTTGAGAAAGAGACAGAAGATCAAATATAAAATCTTTAATTTCTGACAAATTTCAGCTTTTCTCAACTGATTTGACAGAGAAACCAGTGGGTTAATATGATCAAGGTCATTAAAAGGCATTCAAATTCAGAAGAACTGACCAGCATCAACTTCACTAAACAACCAGGGGAAGCGGGTTGGTTAGAAGTTTATTTAATCAGTCTAAACTAATACTCATACAACTGGAGTAGGGAAGCCCTTGTTTTTGGATGTAAAAACAGACCTCACTCTTTTCCCAAACTCACATTTTATTTCTCTCGATAAGCATTTGCAACAATTGAAACATAAAGGCCAAAATGAAAGGCATCATGGGAAGTGAATCTTTATCAAACTAAAACAAAGAGAAACAATGAATACAGATCTCTGCAGGTATAGTTTCCATTGTTTGTATGTTCACTGGCAGATGGGAAATATAAATAAATCTAGGTTTGTTTATGTGTTAATTAGAGTTGGGTAATGACATTGAGTTAGCGAACGCACCTTTGGGACGTACATTACAACATGACACACTTACTGTATCGGCCATCTTCTTTGTCAACACCACACGTTCTGCACTGAGACTAATGTTAATCAGCAGTACACACTTTCTGCTCCTTTACTGTGCTTGTGTTTTACAATATCACAATGGTGGGGGCTGTCATTGTCTCATCTCTCAAATCTCGTTTACTCTATTACCTTTCTCTCACATCACTTCCTCTTTCCATCCATCGTTGTGCTACCTGTTTAAACTTCCCTTCTTGGTTTTCGCCGTTTCTTTCGTGAGATGGTTCACTCTAAGCGATTGTCTTGTGATATTTCATATATATTTCAATTAGAACAGCTTTTATATGTCTCTGCTTTTTCAATATTCTTATATTTGCTTTATATTTAAATAGAAATATATATGTACACACTTTTGAAAACAAACATATATGATATCTTTTTCTATTGAGAGAATTTACTTTAGTCTGTTATTACATTTATCATTTGGAACGGTCTTTGTTATGGGAGTAAGCTTTGGGAGAAGAAGAAAAAAAGTAAAACATACAGTACCGTGCCTGATGATAAATACATGTAAAAATCCCTTATTTCTGAAGTGAGTCATATCGCTCTGACCCCTCTGACTCTAATCTCAGCGTCTGTTGTTTTATCCAAAATATTCAAACAGGATTTTCCATACACATCTCTAAATCCATGTGTCCACCTAGGGCAAGAAGGAGGGTGCTGCCAGCCTTTAAGCCCCCTGTGGCGGTTATTGAAATACACCACAACTTACACTTAAAAAATAAACAAGAAAAAATTAAATCTAATTAAATGAGCACCAGGTTTTAACAGAATTGCCAGCAATAGTACTCTTATGAAAGAGTACACAAATTAAAATTAAATCACACAAATCTCTACCCTCTCAGAAGCTGGAAAGGCATTTAACCATCCCATGACTTGCTTCAAAAGTGAAGCGAAGACTTTTGAGATTTTATAATATTAATTCACTCCTTTTTGCCATGTGGGAATCAGACGGAGCAAAGTATAGCATTTAGCTAGTGGTATTAGGGTAAATCAGGTCCCTCTTGAAAACGAGATAGCTTCTCAGTGTGACATACGTGTATGAATAAAGGTTGAATCAGAACGTTGATCTAAATTTGGAGATTTAAAGCCATTGTGATAAAAGTTCTTCTGCTAATGGATTAAAGGTTGCCAGCATCACTGACGTCGATGCCACACTAAATGTTACAGAGATATCATTGAACACAGACGTGTGATGCCAGCTTTTAAACTATTGTTTAGTAGGGATGACTAAATAGATAAAAGTCTTTATTAGCAACAGCTTTCTGTAATAATCTCACCTTTCTGTGTGATTATAACTCGAGTACCCTAAAGGTATTTCTGCATGTCTGTGCAAAAACACGTTCCTTTAGGTCTGTCTGTCTTTGCCAAGTCAATGTGCCAGCCTTATGTCACAGTGACTCTATTTGGACATATAATGGATGGGAGAAGGAAAAGTGGGAAGGGGTGGTAAATGGACAATAAAACAGTCTCTAAAATCTTTGATTTGACAAAGAAACAAAGAAACAGAAAGAAAAACCCGTCTCTAGTCTGCAAATACTCTCTTCTAAACCCTCTTCTTAGAATTTAGCCTTTTCCATACCACGTCGTCACTTAGGGTTATAAAAAAATTTCAAAAATTCTGAACCTATTGTAAAACCATCATCATTACTGTCCTCTCCCCATTTCTTTTTCTGGTTTTCTTCTTTTTTTATAAAACAAACAGCGGGGGAGGGGGCTTCATTTTTAACACAGACTTCTGCCCAAGAGTTCATTATACAGATTGAATTTAAAAAGGTCCATTGTTAGTGTGTGCCTGCCACATGTATACATATATATTTACACATATACACCCACGCACACACACACGTGCACACGCAGGCTCGTGAAGCTTCCTGGATCCGTTCTAACTTTTTCTTAGTGCACATGAGATTATATTTCCATCCTCGTTTGAAAAAAAAAAAAAAACACAAAAGTGGCCGAAAACAAAACGTCTCAAATCACTCGTTGATGCTCAACATTTATAATTTCTCTGTTTTAAGTCTGTCTTTTTAAAAGGAATCCTTTATGACCACTACACTGTGGCATCCATTGCATGTATAACAGGACAAAAGTCCTCCTCGCTGCCTCTGCTGGACCAATCTGCGGTGGAACCTTGCAGAACCAATGTAACACCAAGGCTAGTGGTTTATGCATACAGTAAAAGCACCCTGCCGAGGCACAATGCTGTGATATGAGCTCCTTTTCCCTCAGACACCACGAAAAGTTACATATTTAAAAAACCTAAAACCTTAACACATGTCCCTTGTGACCTGGTTCATTCTAGAGCTGTCTCGATGTGGAAAACAAGACAGTGCGCGTAGAAAGCCTTTTGTGCATAAGTACTGAGTCGTTTGCCAGGAAACTAAAAAGTGGAGTGAACGGGTAACTTGTTTACGTTTTGGCAAGTGATTTCCAGGGTGATCAAAAACAAGAGAGAATAACGGCAATAATAAAAGAAAGCAATCAGGCTGAAAGAAAGGCAAGCCCCTGTACTGTGGAGGTCCAACTCTGACCCCTTCGAACAGTATTGTTGACGGGAACGCAAGCAGCTCCCTGCAGGCTGGCACAGCACAGGCACTGACGGCTAAGCTGTGCATGTCTATGTTCCTCACCCCGATTTACCACAGACTCCAGGCAAGCGCTGGCTTGTCCAGCATTAAGAGTTACAGTGACAGGCCTCGGTCATGGCAGGCTACACCAGTGTGTAGGACTTGGAGTAGGCCCCTGAGCCCCCATCCCTCTGCTTCTGTAGTCTACCTAAGCCGGAGGAGCTGCTCTCCAGGAGAGAGTCTCTGGACCCTCCAATCTTGGAGGAAGAAGAGGAGGCACCTCCAGGGGTCCCACCTGTGGCCCCTGCTGCTCCACCTCCACCAGAGGAGGATGACGCCCCTGCAGCCGCGGCAGTAGCTGCAGCAGCTGCGGCTGCACTCTGAGCCACAGCAGCAGAGGAGCCAGCCAGGGTTAGAGTCCTCTGGGGAAGCGTGGAGCTACTAGAGCTAGCGGACATTCCTCCACTTCCACTCCCTCCACCACCGCCTCCTGATGCTCCTCCAGAGGAAACCGTAGAGGAAGTGAGGTTGGATAGCCCAGAGTGGCCCATGGATAGAGCCTGCTGCTTTGCAGAGTCCATAGTCACGTGACGACCCTGGCTGTGGTACGCCCGTTGGGCCAGGCCACGAATTGAGGCTTCGCGTGGAGGAACCACTGGACATGGGTCATGGTGTTCCGACTGCTTTCGGAAAAAGGGATCGGATTTCATGTAGAGGGGAAGGTTGCAGTAGTCGCCTGGAGGGAAAAGAAAATTTTAATTCAGCCACTCTCCAAAACATTTCATTCTGTGAGGTTTTAACACAAGTTTGACCTTTATTGCAAATCAGTTTCATCTTTTCAAGAACGAATGCTTTTGGGAGTAAAAGGAAAACTCACTCTTGGCGCGGTGTGGGATGGGCACGGCTACATTCTTGCCACGATCGTAGTCTTGGGGTTTGGGTGGCGATGCAGTGAAACGGCAGATCCCAGGCTCTGACGGTGTGCTCATAGATGTCATACTGTCTGCATTGTCATTGGTACCTGTGGTCATCTGATCAGATGAGCTGTCAGAGATAAAACACTCTGTAATCTCAAATTTGGCGTGCTGCAGGTGCTCCTCCAGCTTGGCGTGCTCGTACGCTCTCGCCAACTCCTCGTAGGTAGACGAGGCGCTCTCCGTGGACACCATACTGTTGCGCCCCTTATCTGTGGAACCAGAAAGGTGAGAACATTTTGTCCAAGTTTTAAAAGCCTCTTACAGATCAAGCTCCTAAAATGGCTTTCACTCCTCCGCACAGTTATATGTAAATGGCTGTAAGTGTCATTTCACCCTTGCGCTAACCTGTGTCCTGCGAGAGGCTGGCACTGTAGCTGTCACTTTCTGTGACAGTGATGCCATGCTGGGAGCCAACTGTGCGCCAGTCTGAAGTGAGAGTACGAGCTGGTGTGGAAGCCTGACACTTGGTCAGAGTCCACTGACTGGAGTAGCGGTTCCTGATGCTGTGGGCTGACTTCACACTCTTCCTCGATACCGGGTCTGGTGGCAAACGGATGAAGAAATAAAAGGAATGTGCATTTGGACAGAGTGTTTACAGCCCAAATAAATAAATGGACCTCCCTAAAAACAAAATAAAAACAACTACTGTGTCACCCCATTAACTTTAACTTGAAATGAGATCATGATTTGAGAAGATATGCAGAATTTACACCGATAACTTTATCTGTGACATTTAAAGCATTTGCAGAGGCTTCTGTGCAACAGTAGCAGAATGAACAGTGATGAGAGAGAACACATACTGGTTCCTGGTCTGATGTCAGACATGTCTATCAAAGGACCTGTGTTTTGGATGAGGGCAGGGTGATGGACAGAAACACCAGTGCAGAAGCTCTGAGGATTCCCAGTTTGGTTGAACTCTGTGTCTGTCACAGGGATAGTGGCCTTGTCATCGCCTAAAACAAACAAACAAAAAAAAAAAAACAGTCTTCTAGTTAAATATACATTTGAAACAAAACTTTTTTGAATTCAGTATCTTGCATAAATAGGTGAACAAGTGTGACTTTATGTCTTTTTCTCTCACCAATTTGCTTGATGCCCTCTTTGTCCTCAATTAGCAACTGCACTCTGGGGATGTCGATGTGTAGCCGCGGGCCCTGCGGAGGTCCCTTCACTGGCGTGTCAAAGCTGCGGTTGTTTTTGCTGATTTAGAGATAAAAAAAAACGTAGTTGTTTGAGGTGAGAAAATGCTGAATGCGTTTGCAGGGAAGCCTTTTGGATGTGAGCCTCAATTTTGTGTTGAACGGCAGAAAACTCACCTGATCAGCATCTCTGCCAGGCTTTTAGCATCTAAAGAAAGTCAAAGGTAGAAGCATTTTGTTGAAAATTTTAAATAATATAAAAAATTTTTTAGTGTTTCTACAGAATTTTGGAAGTTCTTTGCAAACAAGAACCAAGAGAACTGAGCACATCACTCCGGTTCTTAAATCTCTATCAGTCAACTACATAACTGATTTCAAAGTGCTTCTACTAGTTTATAAATCACTCAAAGGCATGGGGCCAGAATACATGTCAGATCTCCTTCCTATATATACTCCTTCAGTATATATTCTGAAATCTTTAGGAAACGGTCAGCTGATAGAACTCCGGGTCAGAACCAAACAGGGTGAAGCTGCTTTTAGCTACTATGCACAGGTGGAATCAGCTTCCTCGTGACCTCAAATGTGCTCCAACTCTAGTAACTTTAATCAAAATTGAAAACCTTCATGGATTCATCAGCCTTTGAATGAATGTTTTTTATGCTGCGCCTTCTGCACTGTAACTGCTCACTCTTTAACTTTAACTTTGTCATTTTTGTATTTAATTTGATCTAAATTAATTTGTGTATTTGATTGCGCTGTCATTTTACTTTTTGTTTGTGCTATTCTCGCTAATGGAAAGCACAATGAATTGTACATAATAGGGCTGCCTTGTCTTTTATTCTCCTCAGAAAGGGACTTCTCCTCATCGGTGCTCACCTCTTAGTCTCTTTAGTCTCTTCTCTTTGCGTTTCTTGCGGATGATGAAGAGTAGTGCAACACCAAGAGTGACCAGAATCACCGGAGAACCGATGGAGAACAGCTTCTTCACGTCGTCATTTTTTTTCAGGGGGGATTTAATGGGAGCAATAGTACCTGTACACATACAGGAAGGCAACTTACTAAAACAGTAAAAACTAACTTTTTTTCTTTAACAAATAAAGCAAATATTCTACTTACTGCCATCGTAGTCCAGTGTGGCAAACTGGGAGCTCTGGTTTCCACATCCAGCACTGTTACATGCCTTCATCTTCAGTTCATACCAGGTGGCCTCACGCAAATCAGCCAGAAACACGTCTGAGGTGGCGTTGGTACGTACAGTCTGCCAGGTCCACGTACCTGCACAAATACACAAGCTAACATCAACTCTAGTTTCTTTTTTATTAGCTTTTATGTTTTAACATTTAAATAAATGGCTTTTCATAGAATTTAGGTACATCTCCAACAAATAACCCACCTTTTGGTCTGAATTCTAGTGTGACGGCAGTGATTGGGCATCCTCCACTGGCCCAACCCTGCAGGTTCAGGCGGGCGTGGCTGGAGTTAATGTAGGTAAAAACGGGTTGATCCTTGTTGAATTGGGGCTCTGAAAAAGCAAAAAAGGCAAAATAAAATTATAGCTGTTTGTTCACAAACAGTCTAATTGCAAGTTGTGATATCATGCTTTAAACCGTGGGAAAAGAAAGCAAAAAATATATAAAGATAAACTCACACACACAACAAATACACTCCAGGACTGTACAGTCAAATACATCCATTGTCATATTCATATTAAATCCCTAAATCAAACCGGTACAGCATCATTTGTTAAGATGAGCCCCCTTCGTAGTTCTGTCTGCCCCCTCAAATTTGCCCATCTAGAACCGGCCCTGCACAACCACATCAGTGAGTAATGACGCTTTACTGTGAAAGCTGATGAAAACAAAGATATTTAAAGTTCTGTGAAAACAGATTATTTATATATATATATATATATATATATATATATATATATATATATATATATATATATATATATATATATATAAAACTGTGCTGGTGAAGGTTCTCATTCATATAGGTCATGGTAATCCAAAGTGGGTTGAAGGAAGGCAACTGGACTTCTTTGGTTTCTTGAAGCCGTTTTGTTTCTCATCTGAGGAGCTTTGTCAACTTTGACTGGAATATGGACGGGTCAAGCTTATAAACTGTAGCTTTCTGTTCTTTCTTCACAAGCTATGAGTACCCCTCCTCCCCATCTCCAGATGAGTCGCTGGAGTCATTAGGCTCTATTGTGTTGGGATGGTAGTATTGATCAGAGGTGTGACTTAGACTGAAACTGTTTGGAAATTAGGTTCAGAGCTGCATTAAAGGTGCTGGAAAGATGAAACCTGAGGCCTCCTCCTGTGTTTAACTTCTGTGTTTTGCTGCTGAAACAAGTATTTTAGGGAGCCTAAGTCACTTCCGCATCATGGGTCCCCGGAAGAACGAAAAAATGACTGCAAGTCAACGGGGCTAAAAAAGCTATTTTCTAACCCGCTTTCCCTTACGCCCTGGATCACACATGTTGTACTCTCATTTAAATGAAAAGTAATGTTGGGTGTTTCGACCATGCCAGCCATGTACTTTGAGATTCATCAGCATATCAAAGTTTGTAATTAGCATGACTACACACCAGAAATCTGCACGTCGCATATGTGGCGTCACCACATAATCTCCTCTCCCCTAACGGATCTGCTACTTACCACATGACCAGATTTATGGTGGTTCTTTCCTCCGGTGGGAAGTCTGCTGAACTTACAGCCTTATTCCCTCAGTTTGTCTGTGTCTGGTGCGATGACGTCACTTTCATGAAGCACATTTGTAGTCCTGGACTTAATTTCACATAGAACCTAAAATCCCCCCCCCCCCCCCCCCCCGTTCAAAAATAAGCACGTTCTTGGTATCAAAATGTGTCTTTAAAATTCACGGACAACATACGTGAAATCCATGGCACAAAACAAGCAAAATTAGAAAACAGCGCTTTTTTAATTTTGTTTTTCCGGGGACCCATAGTGCAGAAGTGTCTTAGGCCCCATGTTAGACACTGGTCATACTTAGCCTGACTGCTCTTGTTGAATTTTCCCCCAAGATCACAAGATAACGACTCTTTCTCTCAATATGTCAAGAAAAATAAGCTTATTTTTAAAAAATTCCTGAAGAAATTTCAATTAAAAATGTTTTTAATAATCAAATCAAAGGTTTTGTAGGTAAAAAAAACATTAATCAATAAAAGCTATATTACAATGAGCTTTCTTGGATAAACCTTTGAAAATACGTAACTAAATATCTGAAGCAGAAAGAGCATCACAGAACATGTGATGTTTTAATAAATGTACATTAAAAATAACAAATAATCTCTAATCACTATATTACCTTATAACGATCCAGAATTGTCTTTTATGCTCTGCTCTGCCCTCTTACCTCGTCCGTGAGTCTTCGCCTCAATAATCTCACTAATGCGTCCTGCTCCAACGCTGTTCTTGGCTGCTAACTTGACTTTATACCAGGTCCCACACCGCAGGTTGTCCAGTTTAAAGGACCGCTCACTGGAGCTGATGAAAACATCCTTCCACTCCTCTGTATTGTCCACGGAGTATTGTAGAACGAAACCTGCACAAAAAGCTTATTTTAATTTTTTTACTGCATGAATCCTTTGAAATGTCAGCCCCTTTAAATAATGTGGGTGAAGTAGCTCAACTGTCCACTAGATGGCAACAGAAGAATTTCTCCCTCACCCACTGATGCTTCAGCTGGATGACAGTCTTGCTGCTCTCCATCTTTGCCGTCATTAGTTACCTACAAACCCAAAGCCTGGGATGGCGCTGACTGAGCATCTATGCAAATGAGGGTTTGCAATATGGTGACTGTTTTTATATTCAGCTTCCTCTGTGAGCCAGCTCCCTCCTGTGCTCAGAATCTTTCCATCTAATCCTCTGTCTGTCTTTTCCTTCTGTCTGTACGTAATCATGCATATATGAATCTTTCTCTGCGTTTTTCTACTCTTTGTGCTATCCTTTTCTCCTCAGATTTCTCTCTGACAGATGGTGTGACAGAGTCCATCAAAGCATTTGATGGGTGTGCAGATTGAGCTGTCTGCGGAAGTTTTATAGTCAGCCACAGAACAGAGCAGCACATTGCAATAGCACGCTACTGCGGAGCAGATTTGGAAATAACACAGGTTTTTGAGTGTTGGTATGTCAACCTAATGTTTGTGCTACTTCGTGTAACACAGATTTACAACCAAAAAAGTTTGTTTTGTTTAAAATCTGCAAGATGAACTCGCTAAAAGCTTATTTATGGGCAGATTCTACTTTGGGAAAGGTGCAGAAAAGATTCTCAATAGAAATCTTTAGCGCTGCACTGATGGCCTCACAAACAGGCAGGTGCTCTGGTATTCAAATAGGATATGCAGAAAGGATCTATGCATAAGTGAAGAAGAAGATGATGTTTGCAAATAAAAGTTGCTAGAGTGTTATTAGAAAACAGAGCCGCACACTCAGCATGCTGTTTTTGTTACACGTGCATGCACATAGTGCATGCATGAGGGGTCTTGGCTTTCTTTGGCAATATAATCACAGGCAGGGACAAAAAATATAGTGCCAGATTCATGAAATCATTGAAAAAGCTAATTCTAAACATAATTTTGTGGTATTTATTTACTTACTATTTATTACCATTCAATGTCCAAGTTGATGCTCTATGTTTGATTTTTAATTTCTGCACAAAATCAAAAAAAAATTCCGATGCATATTTATGTCATTTTGATGCAAAAAGAAGCTGCAAAAAGTCAAACACATGAATCTGAAACATCCCTTCAGGATAACAAAAAGGATGACCAGTAGAGTAAATACATTTACGTGCAACAGCATCTAGACATACGCACTGTCCAGTCACACACACGCAAATCATGACACACACTCAGCAGAGAGAAACACAGAACACATTTCAATAAAATATCAGACCAGTCTGAACACTAATATACTCCAGGTGACAGACACATCAGAGGCAGATGAGGAGGACATGAGAACTTGACAGACTTGTGGGGTATAGATAAGAGGAACATAATATGAGTGTGTGGGATAAAACACAGAAACAAAGCTTTTTGGTGGGGTAACCCACCTCTGATAGAGCTGCCTCCATTATCTCCTGGTATCCAGGCAAGAGTGATGGAAGAGGTGGAGGTGGTGGAGACGGTCAGACGGGGCTGATCTGGAGGAACTGAAGACAAGAAGGAAAGCGTTTACAGCTCTTATTCCAAGTTTTGCCACAATAGAATAGTCCTGTTACATCAGAGACAAGCTAACACTGACACGTTCCCACCTTGCACCAAAAGGTTGACTAAGATGGTATCAAAGCCCAGCGTGTTGGTGGCCGTGCAGGTGTAATAACCAGAGTCTTCGGCTTTGACGGAGCGCAGCACCAGCGTCCCATTGGCCAGAATAAGGCGCTGTCCATCAAGAGACACTGGAATAGCAGTGTCCTCACTGGCAGATAATAAAACAAAAGAAAAGCATCTTAAAAGAAGTTTTTATTATCTATCTAGTTAGTTTTAACAAGATGTATTGTCACCTGCTGCTAAGAGAACTGCAGGTGTTTTATTTATTTATTTATTTATTTTTGCATCTGTCTGTGTATTTGCTTATTCGCCTGTTTGGGAAATATTTTATCAACCAAAAGGATGATGTTAATGATGGCCATTGAAAGTCTTCTTTAGATGTACACCTACAGCTATTTTCATTTTGGAGTCCACCCAGATCAAGATGGCAATCAAAGCTAACTAACATGAGCAAAACAAAGTTAAATTTGCAGAAATGACAGCTAACTAATCATGCAAGATCTTGTAATAAGATGTGAGATTATACATGATATTCTTTTAAAATGTTAGTCGGTCATGAAGTCAGTCATCCATGCTTTTATTGCATTGGTGCTCCTGTCTCAGCCCTGAACCGACTGCAGGTAGTCCAGATTGGTGCTGCTAGGTTCCTGACAAACACAAGCCGACACAGTCATATTACTCCGGTCCTGGAGCTTCTCCACTGACTCCTGTTGCCTTCCATTTATTTATTCATGTAGCCCCTTTTACCAGTTTAACGGAGACCCGTGTGAGGTTGAAACCATTAACTCTTGCATTCAAGGCGCTAAATGACCTAGCTCCACCTTATCTACCTGACCTCCTCACCTCATACGTACTGTACCTGCATGTGTGTTAATGTCTTCTGACCAGTTGCTACTGTGCACTCTCCATATGTGTTGTAACTTAAAGGGTGAGCGGGCGTTTGTATGTGCTGCTCCCAGGCTCTGGAACTCACTACCCATTACAGTCAGACAGAAACCCTCTTGCTATGTTTAAATCTTGTTTAAAATGAAAATTTTATGGCTTGGCTTTTGACCAGTGACTCTTTTATTCTGTATTTCTTTTTATTATTTAGTTCTGATGGTTTTTATTTGGATTGCATTCTTTTCGTTTATCTGCTTTGAATGAATGTGCCCTGTGCAGCACTTTGGGAATCTCTCATGCTGTGTTTGAAATGAGTTATAGAAATAAAATTGTACGGTGTGGTATCAACATAACAATCATAGTTCAAAAGTGTCAACAAAGGGAGAGTGCGTTGACTAAATCTAGGCTTTATTTTATCAGATGCACGCATTTTATACTTTTGTGGGAAAGATTCTCACCTGTCTTTAGTCCATTTTATAGTAGGTGTAGGTTCACCAACGGAGCTACAGGGCAGCCGCACCTCCTTCATCCATGGAGTTGTAACCGTACCGCCAAATGACAGAATTTTGGCCGGGGCTGTCAGAAGATTAAGAAAGGCAGAAAAAAATCAAAAATTAATTAATTTGTAGTCGGTTTTACTTTAATTGTGTTACCATCAACCAAAAAAAGAGACAATAATAAAGGTAGTGGAGTAATTAACACACTTGAATCAGGTAATCCTGCCCATTTCTTTCTAATCCAGTGAATGTTCAGATTGTTTTGAATCAATATGTTGTGATCGATTGTAATAAAGCAGGGATAACTGCTGTATTTCCAATGAAACACAAAATATTAAATCATGTTAAAATGTGACACTCTCCAGCAAAAAATAAAACAACATTTTAAAAGTCAAGAAGAAAAGAATAAAGATCAGAGAAGACACGAAAAAATATCCATTCACTTAGTCACAAAATCCTTTTTTTATTTCCTGTGACCAAACCACCTGCTCTTTCTTTATACCTCCTCTCTGGGTGTCTTAATGGCCATGCTCCAGTGCACTTATGTTAAGGTTGAATGAAGTATTGAGTGGGCCAACCTGGAGGACACCGCTTTTTACAGCTGCTGATCCGATGAGGCAGACACCCGTACTGGCGCTCTTACGAACCGTTGCACTCAGAAGTCAAAGAAATGAACAGATAAGGAAAGGAAGGTGCACTCTGTTCATCCATACTCCTTTATTCTCCCATTTAATACAAAGTATATTGATTTGCTGTGAGTCAGTCTTGTTTTTTTTAAATAATCGGCCTCTTTATGGTGAGGCTCAGTAGTTTCCTCTACCCTTGTTGTGTCATTTCCTCCTCGCCCTCTAACTTCTCCTGATGTCTTTGCTTTTGCTCATTTTCCTGACTGGAGGCATTTTTATCTGGAGCACCCCGAACGCTGAAATCAATAGTACACCTCTAAACAAATAACACAGAAAAAGTACAAACAGGACAGCACAAAACTGGAGGAAATATGTAAAGAAGAAAATAAAGGAAAAGGAAAATTAAATATGTGCAAATAAGGTATTGTATTAGAGAAATTTTATTTTATTATCAGTTTGAGGTGTGAAGAGCTGCACCTCTTCTCTTCTAACAAATCATAAAAACAGAGGAGATAATGGAAGTAGTAAAATGAAACAGGACTGAATTATTGTATCAGAAATGAGAAAAAAAGTGTTTTTATTATATATTTTATTATATTCAGATTAGAGGTTAAAGAGTCGAATAGATTTTACCATTACTTTTTGGAAATATCCAACAATATGTTGATGAAAATGAATGAAAGATGCACAGTTGTTGAAAAATATTGGCGGCTTTGTAACATGTAACCATAAAAACCAGGTCTATAACACATGGGAGCAGGTCTAAGTCTCTGGGTGATGCCATTTTAGATTCCATGCTTCCTATGTGGGAGCCCATGAGGACAAAATGCATTTACTGATTTGTAACAAACAGTTACAAAACCTTCGCCATTCTTAAATGTTGTTTTACACATTTACCTCTTCACTTGTAAGTGATAAAAGGCAGTCTGATGTGCTTGTCATTTTGATGAAGTTTGTTCTCCCCAGGGCTTTATGGCCCTACTGGGCAGGGGCGTCGGACTGGGGGGGGAAAAGGGTACCGTTTACCCAGGGCCCACTGCAGGGAGGGGCCCTGAGACAGCTTTGAATAAAAATGTTTTATTGTTGTTGTTTTTTCCCCCCAACTTACTTAATGTCTTAATAAACTTCCCTTTACCTGGATAAAGAGGTTAAGAAACAGAATTTCGCCTTAAAAATAATAACTGAATAATCTCTGAGGCATCTATCACCCCTTAAAAATGTGCAAAGTGGTTTAGTCCACACCAGCGGCCAGGGGCTGCACGGCTGCATGTGCTAATGAGACATCGCAGATGCCGACAGCCAGAGCTGGAGGCAGGAGTCAGTCATGTCTTTTCCCAAGAAAGGCAAATCTGGCTTCCAGAAAAGAAAAGAAAAGAAAAGAAAAGAAAAGAAAAGAAAAGAAGGAGGAAAAGTTAATTGAACAGAAGCAAGTAGAAGGATGGTGAGCAGCAGCCAGCAGCTGCAGAACACAGTTTTAGCTGATATTAGCTAGCTCTCAGAAGCTGCATTCATGTTAGGTGTTCAGTGTTAAATGCCTTTAGTTTCACCATCAAGATCAAATATAAATTAATTAGTGTTATCAGTGAAAACACTAATTAATATAAATATATATATTAATCAGAATTATTATCGCGGGCGGCCGCCGCCAATTAATTCGCGGACCTCGCAGTAAAAACAGGTTCACTCTGTGTGGATATTTCAGCTCCTTCCCAGTCATGGAGCAGGACAAACTTGGTATCGATGGATTGGTGGTAATCTCAGGAACGTGAAGCTGCCACTGTTTTTCGTATAGCATGATGAAACTGGTGTTAGAGGATTGTTATTGACTTGGTTAGATATTTAAGCTTATTTTAAATGTCTTTATATTTGATCTTGAAAACAGACAATTTTATAATTTGGCTGATAATGCAGGGATTATAAAATTTAGAGTACATTACATTCACAGAGAGAACCTGGTTTATTTCATGTCATATGTATTTAATATATCAATATATATCAGTATTAGCAAAGCTTAACATCATGAACCATGACAGACATGACTGAAGAGCAGATGAAGATATCATGCCACTGATGAGAAAATATTACAAGGATCTCACAGCTGAATTTGAGAATGAGATGCTACACCTGAGAACAATATATGGTGCCACATTTCCACACATTCGGTCTCCTCTTGAGCTGCTTAATGCCATACAGGATGCAATTACAGAGCATTTTTGGAGAAGTTTGTATTGGACTGAGGATATTTTGCACACTACCTGTGACTGTTGCTGGGGGTGAACGGGCTTTTAGCAAACTGAAACTGGTGAAAAATTATTTGAGATCAACGATGTCCCAGGATAGACTAAACAGCCTAGCTCTTCTTTCTATTGAAAGCCAATTAGCCAAAGGATTGGACTTTAAAGATCTCATAAGTGATTTTGCTAACATGAAGACCCGTCAGTGGGCATTTACTGGAAAATAAATTCCAGGATTTTTGTTTGAACACATTGTTGGCAAATAAAAATAATTATATGTGAAGTCTGGGCATTTCACTTTTATTATGCTGGCATTTGTATTTGCTCAATATAGAGGTTAAACTAAGATCATATTTATTATCTTGTCTTATAGCATGACAAAAAATGTGTAAGAGAGATATTAAATAATTGAGCATGGGGGCCCACCTAGAAGACTTGTACCTAGGGCCCAGAATTTGGTGCTACGCCCCTGCTACTGGGCATCCATTGGTAAGGTCTTACTCCAGCACAAAAATACTGCTTGATTGCAACCATTCAGGTTTCTACTGCCCCCTTAATCTCTGGAAATAATCCATTGAAACATAGTTGAAAATGAATATAATGATGTCCAGTTGTTGAATATTGGTGGTTTTGTGACATATAACTTTAACATTTGGGTTTAAAGTGTATAGCACACGGGTCTAGTGTCTTTGGCGAACGCCATATTAGATGCCATGCTTCCTGTTGGCTCGCTCGGGGTCCTGCACCTGTCAATGACATCACACTAGATGACTGGCTGGAAGTATGACTTGTGAAAGGCACGTCATCACGTTAGAAAATATTTAGGCTGTGAGAAACAGGAGCAAATCTGCTAAACTCTTTTCAAAACTACGTGAAAGAACAGAATCAAAAAAGAGATGCAATATATTTTGGTCGAGCGGTATTGCCGTAGTATGATGACATCATTGGCAGACGTAGATCCAGAAGGTACAATGCCAAAAAAAACTACAATCAGCATTGCATTATCTTGAGGAAATTACCTGCAGGAGCATCAAAGTCTGAGGAGTCACGCCAAGGTGGCATGCTTTCTGTGCCACAGGTAACAACGGTTACCATTATTATTTTTTTTTTTTGTTTTTTTTCCGTGTCCTGTCTGGCTGTGAAGCAAACAGAACTAGAAAAATTGCACTTATTGCACAAATGCTGTTTGAATGCTGGATAGCTGAAACTGTAAGCTGAAGCTGCTGAACAGCTGAACTGAAGCTGAAACAAAGCAAAACTGTCTAAATGAGCTGAATGTCTTGAAAGATGTAGAAGCAAAAAGCACCAACAAGCAAATAAAGCACAAAAAGTAAGTGAAGAATAGAGAAAAATAATGCTAAATAGCAACAAAAAAAAAAAAACCTTAAATCTGTGAACATTAAATAACAATCTGGGCAGCTAAAATGCCTAAACACCTGTTATTTCAGTTTGCCAAGTTTAACAGTTTAATCTTTACATTTAGCTGAACTGTGACATTAGCATTTACGCAAAATTTGGTAACTGATTGCTGAAGTTGTTGAATAGCTGAAGTAAGCCGAAACTAAGCTAAACTGTCAAATGAGCTGAATGTAGTGAAAGATGTGAAAGCAAAAAGCACCAAGAAGCAAAAAAAGCACAAAAAGTCAATGAAGAATCAAGAAAACTATTCCTAAATAGCAGAAAACTCAAATCTGTGAACACTGTTTAAACAAATTGGACAGCTAAAATGTCTAAACACCTGTTATTTCAGTAGGACTAGTTTAACAGTTTAATTTTTACATTTAGCTGAACTGTGAAATTAGCATCATATTCTGAATTCAGAAACTAGTTGCTGAAGCTGAAACTAAGCGAAACTGTTAAACTGAGCTGAATATTTTGAAAGATTTAGGAGCAAAAAGCACCAAAATGTAAATAAAGCACAAAAAGTGAAGAACGGAGAAAACTATCCTAAACAGCAGAAACTGAAATCTGAACATTATTTAAAAATCTGCACACCAAAAATTTCTAAACACGAGCACGATGGATCAGTTAACTGTTTTATTAATAGAACAAAAATGAAAAGGGAAATAACCATTAGGTTTGAATGCACACAAATACACATTGTGAACACACTGAGAACAGTAGAACGATTAAATTAAATGTAGCTAAAAAAAATTGGTGAACCAAAATTAAATGCAAATTTAACTTGATGTTAGAACGGTAATCTTAATAACTAATGC